CCAATAAACACAACATAACTCTTAAAAAAGGAAGAATGAGGACCATTAAGAATTATATATATGACACTAAACTCGACCGGAAATCTGACACCTGACTTACAGACTTTTGTTAATCTAGCCATCATTGTGGCACCTCTTTGTTTTAATCTATTATCCGCCTACAGATTGAGAATCGTTTATATTGGTTTCATTTGTATACGTAGCTTCATCACTACTACATGAAGAAGATGTAGAGGCATCAACAACAACAATGACATCAACAACAAATACATAAATAACAAAACATACATAAATACCAACAAATACATAAATAACAACAATGACATAATCAACAACAATGGCAACATAAACAAGAACTCAATGGAAATTGACGGTATTATAGATGCATAGGGAAAACATTTATATGTTGGAAACGTGATAAATATGTTTAAAAAAATGGTGTTGGCTCCTTCTTTGAGTTCCTCCTCGTCAGCTAAACCGAAGACTAGTCAAGAACGATGTCGGCTCCATCCTGAAAGTACAAAAGCATAAATGATGTTGAAAATGGCATTGGCTCCTCCTTTGAGTTCCTCATGAATCGATGATGTTGAATGTTTCGTTAGAGATGATTACTACTACAAAAAACGCAAACAACAATGTCCAAGTAACCATATCAAAGGATCCGCTGTGGTGGAATCTATTCAACTAAGCGTTTTTTTTCTTCATATTTAAGCCACTTTTCACCACAGTTGGAAGTTCGAACCGTGATAAAAGTGACGCATGGTCATGAGTTTCGAATGTTGATGTTGTTGTTTTTCTTTTGCTATATTTTTATATTTTATTAAAAGACATATAACAACAGTTATTTAATACAATCGTTGTTGTATGTAGCGTACATGGTCATGAGTTCAAATCTTGTTGTTGCTTTTCTACTCGTGCATTTTTTATATTTTATTAAAATACATACAACAACGGTTATTTAATACAACTATTGTTGTATGTAGCGTATTTATTGAGTTTCTTCATCATCCTTAAATAAATCTCAATCGTCAATTTAGTGACTATCAATGCTCAAAATACTACCTTTAGCGATCCACATGAAACCTAAAACTTAGACAAACTTACAACTTAGACGAACTTCATATTCTACCTTCAAACATCATCTTTCATTTACGACACTCTATTTCTCCATTAAACCAAGCTCGAAAATATCATTTCTTCCATAAGAAAAACTCGAAAAGCATTATTTCTTTAATTTATAAATTTCAAAACTCCATCATCTATTCTCTGTCTTGAATGAGACAAGGAAAGTATAGATTCAAGTTAGCAATGTTTGTTGTTGTTGTTCTCATTATTCTTTTTTTAGTTATTGTTGTTGTTGTTGTTCTTATTATTATTGTTCATGTTATTGTTCTTGTTCTTGTTGTTGTTGTACGTTGTTGTTGTTGTTGTTATTGTTGTTGTTGTTCTTCTTCTTCTTCTTCTTCTTGTTTTTGTTGTTCTTGTTGTTGTTGTTGTTGTTGTTGTTGTTATTGTTCTTGTTGTTGCTCTTGTTGTTGTTCATGTTGTTCTTGTTGTTTTTGTTGTTGTTGTTCATGTTGTTCTTACTACTATTGTTGTTCTACTATTATTTTTTTATTTTATTAAAAAACATACAACAACGGTTAAGTTAATTAACCGTTGTGATATCACGCAAACTTTTTAGTATACGGCAACAGTTTCAGGACCGTGATTGTAAGTAAAACATTTACAAAAACACTCTACGTTACAACGCCTAGATCCGCGTGATTATATATTTTTTCCAATCGTTGTTAAATATCTTTTTCATAGTATTGGATACTGATTTTGTTTCGTTAGAGTTGCAATGTCGTATATTCGTCAGGGGTTGAAATGATGTTGTTTCGTGATGGAAATGAAAATATGGAACTGAAGAGACAAGTTAGCTAGCTCTGTTTCCTTAGAATGGATAAATTATATAACCATGGATAAATTGTTTTGATATATATATATATATATATATATATATATATATATATATATATATATATATATATATATATATATATATATATATATATATATATATATCAAAACTATTTTCTTTAACAACCATGGTGATACAAGATTTACATTAATGATATTTTATAAAAAAGTTCTAGGTATTACGAAATTAAAAATTAAAAAAATATAGATTAATATTAAATAAAAATAAAAGACTTATCTAAAACACATATAAGAAATCACGAATTATTAGGCTTTGAGGATCGAACTGATAACCACGTATATGATATCACTATGGTTTATTTCATAAACAGTGGTAATAATTTGTCAATGTTTAATTAAAAAATAAAAATATATATAGACGTCTTAATCTATAGATATTACCATAGTTCTCTGAAGAACCGTAATAAAGATGACATCATTATATATATTATTTGTAATAATGTCTCACCATGTGAAATTCGTCGAATCCGAATTCCTATTCAAGTCTCTGGTAGCTCAATCCAATTCACATGCAGAACAACAAACATGCCCACTTCAACTCTCTATTTTACCGCCTCTAAGCCACAATGTATTATCCAAGCCCAGCACATTGCCTCTAAGCTGTAATGTATTCTCAAAACTCAGTATGTTACCTTTAAGTCGCAATGTATTCTCAAAATCCATTACATTGCCTCTAAGCCGCAATGTATCCTCAAAACCCATTACATTGCCTCTAAGCCGCGATGTATCATCTGAACTCACTACATTGCCTCTAAGCCGCAATGTACTCGCAAAGCCTAGACCATCGCCTCAGACTTCATGCAACGATGTTCGAAACAACAAATTTAGCTTATTGCCTCAGACTTCATGCAGTGATTTGCAAACTTAAACCATTGCATCAGACTTCATGCAGCAATGTATTTCTTATTCTAGGACACAGATCATCGCCTCAGGCTTCACGCAACAATGTCCGAAAACTAAATCTAGCTTATCACATCAGACTTCACGCAGTGATTTGCAAACCTAACCCATTGCCTCAGACTTCATGTAGCAGTGTGTTCCTTATTCTGCGACACGAATCATTGCCTCAGACTTCATGCAACAATGTGTTCCAAACTCCAGACCATCGTCTCAGACTTCATGCAATGATGTTCGAAATAAAAAATTTAGCTTATCACATTAGACTTCATGCAGCGATTTGCAAACCTAACCCATTTCTTCAGACTTCATGCAACAATGTGTTTCTTTATTCCATAAAATCCATCCTATCTCATTAGACTTCACACAATGATTTGCAAACCAAACTCATTGCCTCAGACTTCATGCAGCAATGTACATCTCTTTACTCTGCAACACAAACCATCGCCTCAGACTTCATGCGGCGATGTCCGAAGACCAAATCTAGCTTCACGCAGCGATTTGCAAAACACTTTAACCCATTGCATCAGACTTCAGGCAGCAATATATTTTTTTATTCCATAAACACTGATCACCGCCTCATACTTCATACTGTGATGCTCAAAATAAAACAAAACTATAACCCATGGCCCCAGTCTTCAAGCAGCCATGCATCATCAATCATTGTTGTATTCATCCCCCAAATGGACGAGTAATCAAAAAAACCAAACCAAGACATACGAAATTGCGCTCGTAAAACCATCTGCCTCGTTTTCAAACCCTGGTAAGCGATTATACCGTCAGCTTTACCTACTTTCCCTAAGACTCGTAAAGGTATGCTATATCAGTGTAACCTTATGTTTGTTGGATAAATTTTGGGGATACTTCAAGCATTCAATAAACTTCCAATCAGAATGCACAAGACTCGAGTTTTCTCGCGCTATTCGATTGAAAAATGATTAAATAGGGGCAGCTGTCGTACCCCAAATTTGTCCTACCTCGACGATTTTATTTTTCAAGAAGAAATATTTAATGAAGGATGGTACAACAATATCTATTGGCCCTTTTTTTTAGAAGGTGTATATCAATCCAGGAGAATGAAGCTTTCTAAATCAGAAAGACTCGTGTATCCGTTCGCGAGGCATGTTGGCCATTGGCCCATGTGATTCAGAAATGAAGATTATTTCAAGAGAGAAATTAAGTTTTAATTTTATTGTTGCCAGTAAGAGGAAAAATGAAATTACAGTATTCAAGACTCATTTCATCAAACCAAATTAACGTTTTGTAATTTTTACTATTTTTTGAGAGATAACGTCATTATTCAAAATCTTTTTTAAGCAAAAGCGGGCCAATACTGGGCCCAATCCGGCTAAAGGAATTCATTTGTTAGGAGACAAACTGTTTTGTTAAATAACGTTTGCAAGATTTATTTGTTTGTTGGGAACTTGTTACAAACTAAGCCCATTAAAGTTCTTTTAACCCATTTGATATATTGTTGTTGTTTTGTTTGAAAATGAAAAGAAATATTGTTATTAAAAGAAAACTGTCTACTATTCTTATTTTAATAAGTAAATAATTTTTTTTTCTCAAAAGAAAACTTGATGATTTTTTTATACTGATAAAATTGGATTTTAGTTGGTTGCAAATATTATATTTTTGGGAAAGACCCAGTGGTTAAAATGTCCTTACTGTAATTAAAATGTCTCTGGTAGCTGAACCCAATTCACATGCATAACAACAAACATGTCCACTTCAACTCTCTATTTTACCGCCCCTAGATCAACCCACTGCTCTATCATAATAATAGAAAAACACATCTATCATATAAGAAGAAAAAACATACATAATAATTAAATAAATATAAAATTCAACCGCCACCTCTTATGACTATCACTATAAAATAGGGAAAAATATAACCCAAAAACAAAAGAATCAAAAATTCCAATTTTTATATTAATCGGCTTGAACGCCAGAAAAAGTCAGTACCGACTTGGCGTTCAACATGCAACAGTGAGTCAAGAAAGAAGAAAACTCAAAGCATTCACAATTTGATTTCAAAGACCAAACGTATGGTTAAATACAACAGTTTATAAATTACATTGGTTCTCTCTTTTATTTGCAAAACTTTTGTTTGGTTGAAAATGGGTTCTTATATATTTTGTGCTATTTTGTTATTATCCATTGGAATTTCTTTGGCTTCTTCAATTGGAGATCAAAAGAGAGATAAGATAAGTTGGTTACCAGGACAACCAAAGAATATTGGATTTGAACAGTATTCAGGTCATGTGACAGTGAATGAACAGAATGGAAGAGCATTGTTTTATTGGTTGACTGAAGCACCACTCACTCATCAACCCAATTCAAAGCCACTACTTCTATGGCTTAGTAGTGGTCCTGGTTGTTCTGCTATTGCTTTTGGTGCTTCCGAAGAAATTGGCCCTTTTCGTATTAAGCCCGATGGCAAGTCACTTTACTTGAATCCTAGTGCTTGGAACACTTGTAAGTTATTGTCGTATTCAATTCTTGTCGTTTCGATTCGTTTAAAATAATTCATTTTTCCCTGTCTTACGCCTATTTATTATTTTGGATGTTGCAGTGGCAAATATATTGTTCCTCGATTCTCCTGCTGGTGTTGGATTTTCTTATTCTAATACAACATCAGATCTGTACACATTTGGTGACCAGAAAGCAGGTAATTATGTAATAATTTGAGAAAATGGAACAATTGAATATGATCACATATGTCAGTGCCGCTATAACGTGATTACGATTTTAGCAACTGTATTAAATCGTTACAAGAAAAATGGTAATTCAAAGACTTAACAGTTTAACGTGTATACGCGATCTTGCAGCTGAGGATTCATATACTTTTCTTGTTAATTGGCTTGAAAGATTTCCTCAGTATAAGCATAGAGAACTCTACATTGGTGGGATAAGTTATGCAGGTGAATCTATGTTTGATAATTGATGCATCATTTTTTTACTTTGCTACTTTATTTGTGAATTCAATGCTTTGTAAAATCAAGAATTATTCAAATAATTAGATGTTAAATGATTATCAGGTCATTATGTTCCTCAATTGGCTCAAATTGTTTACCGGAGAAATAAGGGAGTCAATAATCCAGTTATCAATCTTAAGGGATTTATGGTAAGATTGTTAGGGTCATGATTCGCGTTTCAAGAAGAAAACTGAAGCGAATCTAACTATACCGTTACAGCTTTCGAAAAAAAGCCTATATGCTTATCGAATTCAATGATTGTTGCTGCAGGTTGGAAATGGTGTTATTGATGATTATCATGATTTAGTAGGAACATTTGAGTACTGGTGGACACATGGTTTGATTTCAGATTCTACATATAAACTTCTAGGAACTGCGTGTGTCTTTGGATCTTCTACGCATCCATCAGCGCAATGTACGCAGGCAATTAACGTTGCAGCTGCTGAGCAAGGAAACATTGATCTATTTAACATTTATGCACCGCTTTGTAACAGTACATCGTCGCTTAAACGCGACTTGGACAGTCGTTATGTAAGCCTACATATACTATCAACACATTGAATTGGCTTATCTATTGTGTAACTCATTTTGATCTTCTAAAATGGCGCAGCCAGGGATGTCTATAGCATATGATCCATGTACCGATAGTTATTCTGATTTGTATTTCAACCGTCCGGAAGTTCAGAAGGCACTTCATGCCGATGCAATTGGGATTCCATATACATGGAAGGCATGCAGGTATGTTATTTTAATTAATTGATATTTATAACATGTTCTATTGAGGTCTATCATTCTATCGAAGTTTTGATTTAAAATGTTTTTATTTTATTTCTTGACAGTGATGTTGTTCAGAATAGTAATTGGGGTGATTCGCCATTGTCTATGCTTCCTATATATCATGAACTTATCAATGCCAGTCTAAGGATATTGGTATTCAGGTACCAACCTTAACCAGATATTTCATATTTTTATAAATGATATTTGAAATCATTGAGGCTCATCAAAGTTGCTCTTCAACGCCATCATTAACACCGTTAATAGTAGCCCAACTTGTTATCCGTTTGCCTTCTCTTTGTAATTGGAACTCTTGTTAACTCTCATACTTTGGCTGTAGTGGAGACAATGATGGTATAGTTCCAGTAACCGCCACTCGATATTCAATTGATGCATTGAAGCTTCCAACCATCGTCAATTGGTATCCTTGGTATGACAGTGGCAAGGTTGGTGCTAACTTCTAAGCTGACAGTAACAGTTGTGTACTTTTTTCCTGTCATCTTATCTGTTAGCTGACATAATTTACTTCTGTGTGAAGGTTGCTGGATGGAGTCAAGTTTATAAAGGGCTAACATTGGTGACAGTAAGAGGAGCTGGACATAGAGTTGCTCTTCATAAGCCTCCCGAAGCGTTTATTGTTTTTAGATCATTTTTGGAGAACAAGAACATGCCATCCTCAAGTTGATCAGATGCATTTGTTCTTCTTGACTTCAAGTATAGAACCAAAAAAGTACGTCATATTCTTAAGAGTGACTTCAATATTCATATATACATACACGGAATAGCAGGCTAAGATAGAATAAGGAATGTACTCCTCATGAGTTCCATCTTGAATATCTACTACAATTTAAACTTGATAAATGTGCCAATACCAATATTTACATATAAGACCCCGTTTGAGAATGCACATATAAGACCTCTTTTTCTGAAATCACCATTTAAGACAACAATATTTTTTTCAAAAGAAAGATTCAAACTTCTTGAAATATAGATTCTAACTATATTCCTAAAAGACTTATCAACAACTTCAAAGAAATAGTTATGAATGGTAGGAGTTTTGTCCCAAATAATAAATGTTGACTTAACAATTAATTTAGCTAAAGGTTCATCTGACTTGATACAACACATATATTTCTCAATGGTACTTATTGGTATGGTAGAATTTGAATTTGTCGTCTTTCCATTGAGAATAAGTAATGACGATATTTCACTCGAGACTATAGTCAAAATAATTTGATACGACACATAGATTTCTGAATGATACTTATTGGTATGGTAGATCTTGAAAGTGTTACCTTCGAGAATAAATAATGACGATATTTCACTCAAGACTACAGTGACACATAGATTTCTCAATGATACTTATTGGTATGTCAAATCTTGAATGTTTTGTCTTATTATCGATAATAAGTAATGACGAACATTTTCAATCACGATACTCATGATTGTGTTATATATACTCATTTGTTCTTCACCCATTGTAGAAGTAAACTTTTAGTGCTCTAAACGTATATTTTGAAAAACAACAAAATTAAAAATTGAAGAAAATAGAAATTGAAAAATAAAGGCAAATCAAAATAATAATAATAATAATAATAATAATAATAATAATAATAATAATAATAATAATAATAATAATAATAATAATAATAATAATAATAAAAAGAAAAGAAATAATGAAGAATGGACGTGTAAAAAGTAAATTACTCTATCATTGAAAATAAGTAATGGTATATTTCACACGAGATTCTATTTAAAATAATATCTCCGTTTGATTTAATTAATGTACAAATTATTGTCGTGACGAAGGTTTCATTGATTCTATCATATAACCATATAGGAAGAAAAGTATATTACTGTTCTCATTGATGTTACTCGTGATTGTGTCATATTTACTCATTATTCTTCGGTCACAATGAAAGTTAAGTTTTGGTGCTCTAAATAAATGTATACTCCAACAAACAATAAAATTTAAAATTGAAGAAAATCAAAATTAAAAATTAATAAATGTATACTCCAACACATTAAAATTTAAAATTGAAGAAAATCAAAATTAAAAATTAAAGACAAATCACAATAATAATAATAATCACAATAATAATAATAATAATAATAATAATAATAACAATAATAATAATAATAATAATAATAATAATAATAATAATAATAATAACAATAATAATAACAATAATAATAACAATAATAATAATAATAATAATAATAATAATAATAACAATAATAATAACAATAACAATAATAATAATAAGAATAACAATAATAATAATAACAATAAGAATAAGAATACCAATAATAATAATAATAACAATAATAATAATAACAATAAGAATAACAATAATAATAATAATAATAATAACAATAACAATAAGAATAACAATAATAACAATAATAATAATAACAATAACAATAACAATAATAACAATAACAATAATAATAACAATAGTAACAATAACAATAATAATAATAACAATAATAATAACAATAATAACAATAACAATAATAATAATAATAATAATAACAATAATAATAATAATAATAATAATAATAATAATAATAATAATAATAATAATAATAATAATAAAAAATAAAAAAACAATGACAAATGGACTCAATCAAAAAATTTGCATAGATGATATAAATAATAGAATAGATGTTATCATTTATTAAATATTATTTATTACTAAATAATAATAAAGGGGGGTGGAGATTGTATGTAGGTTATTTTCCATCAATGGTGTAGGACTCTTGTGATAAACTATGTATGTCGTTCTATATCACAACAGTTAAAGTATATAATTATTGTGATATAAAGTAAAATGTCATGGGTTCGATATCTGGTGATTGTATGAGTATTATATTTTTGTGATCTATCTATAATAACGACTAGTATAATAATTGTGATTAAATAATTTTTTTTTAATTTTACTTTTCTATATATTACAAATTTGTATTTTTTTTCATAATTAACTTGTATACAAATTATCAGATATATAATAACCTGTACACAAAATAAATAACATATATATTATACATATATTAGCTAAATATTCACAAATGTATTAAACATTTATTAAGCAACAAAAATATATTTACAACCATCAAAGACAAATTCATGATAAAATACCACCCCTTCTCCCTTTTTAACCAACTCGTTGAACATAAATGTCTAACATTTACGGATGTTTTCTAAGTCATCGAGAGAGAAAGGTGTCCCGTCGTTGAACACCTAAATAAAAAAATGAACATCACGTCTTTTGAATTATAATAGCAAATTACTTTAACATTAATATATTATTTATAAGCATATTTCATGACATTATATATACCTTATCCCACAAATCAATAATATCGACAGACACGATATTATACATGTGTTTCATTACATAGTACCCACACTCGTATCCATCTGGTTGTCTTTTAGATGTTTAAGAATGATGTCCCAACACCACACAATATCAAGACAGATGTTATAATATCTGTTGACAGAAAACTTGCTAAAACTGGAGATTATCAGAAAAATAAATTGCAGAAAATTAAACAACACAATCAATTGTTAACTCAGTTCGGTGTCACGTCACCTACTATGGGGGCTACCAAGCCAGGAACGAAATTCACTATGATAGTATTAATTCAAAGTTTAACCAACCCTAGTTTACAACTTCTCTCCTAATCACTACCTTGTGCAACTTCTACCTAGAGACCACTAGATATGAGATCCCCCTCTCACTTCTAATCACCACAGTGATACCTACAGCCACAAACCTCGTGACTAGACCAAAAGAACCAAATAGAAGATTTCACTTTAAATACAATACTTAGTCTTGCTTAAAAGCTTAAAACACGGATATCATCCATAATAATTTATCATTTATTCATCAAACATCATTTATTCATCATGAATCATCAACACAACATCATTAATAATGTCTCATCAAAAACTCAGTTGTACATTAATACGACAGTAACTCATACTGCTATTCTGTAATCTTACATCATTACTATCATTACTCCTACTGTTACGAGTCAAACAGCATCCTACAAATATTTCATCCTCATCATTCTGCACAAAACCAACATAACGATCAACACGGAAACTAACTATAAATCCTAAATTGGCTACTAGGATTACACTTCCTATTCTTCATTTTAATCCTCAAGAATAAATCTCATCACGTTAGCTATTCAACGCTTCGAACGGCATCTCAAACGGCATCCTAAAACTCAAGTTACAGCATTTTCAAACTGAATCTTCCAAAAATCAGACAATATGGGTCGACGCAAAACGTCTTGGATCGACGCGTACTGCACTAAACGTGCAACATGATTCGACGCATCCTTTCTTGGATCGACTCATCCTTAGTCTAACACACAGCATGTATCGAAACATGCTCCTATGGATCGACTCATCCCGAGTCTAAAAGCACTCGTGTATCGACGCAAAACCTCTTCGTGTCGACTCATACTGAGTCTCAAAACCTTCTTGTATCGACACATAGCATTTGGGGTCGACACATCATGTTCAATCCTGCATAAATTCTGCGATTTTCTCTGCATTTTCACTACGGGATTCATACTTAAAGCCCTAAAAACTTAATCTAATCATGGATAATCATCACTTACAATTATCTTATAATTCTACATCGATTAAACAACATCGGGACATCATTATTCATCTAAAATTCATCAATTCTCATCATACAACAATCATATACTTCCAATTCAAGAACAAGACAACAATCACCTCTAACCCCACATACCAATTATCATGAACCCGGTTAAAGAGTCAGAACCTCACCCTTACCTTGGATTGAAGGTTGCTCTATAATCTCCGGTTGAATTCTCGTTCTGCCGTTTTTCCTCTTTTTCCAGCAGCTTCACGTTCTTCTTTCCAACCCTTATTCTTCTACTGTTTCTTCTTTTCTATTCTTTCTAACAATAATAAAATAACTTATTATTCTCTTTATTCCTTATTGGGTTCAAAACTAATACACCCCCTTATTACTACTATTCCTTCAAAATAAGCCCACACCAAATAATATTATACTTCTAATATTATTTCTTCACTTAATAAATAAATCCAATTAATCATAACACATCTTCACAAAATATTCCAAAAATAATTTAATTAAATAATTAATTAAATTACGGGCGTTACACTTGAACTACTTCAGGTAGTCATCCACCTCTTGCCCCTATCAAAGATCCTCCTACTAGCAACTTGCTCAGGCTTCATAAACATCGGAACATAGAGGAAAGATGCAATATCAATTGCACTCCTCCATATCTATAGTTATTATAACTCCTCAATAGTACAAGTTCCAATCCCACTACTTATGTTCTCAATTTGATCTTTAAACATAACAGCAAGTTGTTCCTTGTTGTTCATATGCTCCAGAGTAATAACCCTTCCTTCAACAAGATTCTTGATAAGTTGATTATGACTATCAAGGTTCTTGTTCCATCCATGTTGAATAATATATCTGGCACCATTCAGATCTTCATAAAGTAATGTCATGATATCACATTTGATATTATGATCCTTTAACATTTGGTCAATCCACATCAGTTGAGAATAACCCTCCTTTGTTCCATATTATGACCCACTTTGACCCAATAATGCAATTCAAGATCCTTCTTTCTTGAATAGTAGAACACATCATTAGTTCAAGCTTAGAAACAAGACATGCATTTGATATTTCATTGTTGAATTTTGTAATGTCTACTTCATTAGAGTCTCTTGTATTAATCTCTTTGAGATGATCGGTCTGAACTCTAACTTCAGAGTTATCTAGATCAAAACTATTGGACTCACATGTTACTTCTTTTCCCGACTCCTCATTCTGCATAGAAGATGTTCCAACATTTTATGTGACTTCCTTCTCACTTCCAGTAAATGAATCCTAAATCACCACACTTGTGGATTCCATAACATATTTAGTTCTGGAGTTAAAAACTCTATAAGCTCTTCTGATTGAAGAGTAACCCAGAAATACCCCTTCATTCCTTATGAGATCCTTCTTACCTTTTTTAATCTTTATTCACCAAGACATGTCATTTACTTCCAAAGGTATGAAAATATTTTACTATAGGCTTCTTTCCTTTCCATATCTCATAGAGAGTAGTAGAAGTACCTCCTCTCAAAGTGACCATATTATGAATGTAGCATGAAGTATTCATAAATTTAACCC